AATTTAATTTTTATTTTTAAAATATAAAATTTAAATAAAAATTTAATAATTTATATAAATAACAATTAAAATTTTTTTAACAATGAAACACCTAAAACTAACACCGTTTCTTGCCTTCCTTCTTCGTTTCTTGGGGCTGTTTCCACTTCTTCTCTCTATTTTTTATTTTTTTATTTCCTTGAAAGGTTGAATAGCCATTTCTTTTTGTTCGTGTAGTTCTAATAAAGTGATTTACGAGATTTCTTTTATTTTTTTATAGTCATTAGATTTTTTTTTTTTTAAATCTTATATCATTAAAATTGAAATTTTTTTACCTTGGATATTATTGTCATCAATTAATAAAAGAAATTCACTTTGAAACTCAACCGGCGAATGTGAAGGAAGACTGACACTTTGGAGATACATTATTGGAATAGAAAGGCAGAAGGTGCAATTCAGCCCCTGTACCTGTAATGTTGTGGCAAATCGGCCCCTATACTAGAAACACTGGCAAATCAGCCCCTGTACTATATGAAATCCACAAATCACCCCTTCTATTAAGGATGATTTTAGAAAACATCATCTTTCCGTTTGATTTTCATGGCCCATTAACAAAAGATGATGATTGGATAATGACATGGCATTGACTTAAAAAAAACCACCTGATTGGGGGAAAAAAAATATTTTCGAGATTTTTTTTCACTCTTACATTTTTTTTTTTTGGGTAAAATGTAAATTTTATTATCAAATTTCCATTATACACAAAGCAGCTCTTTGTAATACAGGCTGCTACCAATATTCACATACAAAGAATGAATTAGCTATACAAAAATGGCATATCAGTCTCTACACAAAACTTGTAATCCCCATTTTGAAGCAATACTCTTAGGTATAAGGGAAGATTTTGCTCTAGCAAAACTAAGTTCCTTGTCACGAACATCTATTTGTATCTTACTTACAATTGCAAACTCACTTTTGAATGTCCATTTGTGAATTCTAGTATTCCTCTCTATCCAAATATGGTATATTGCTGCACACCATGCTAATCTTATAAGACTACTATATAATGATTTTCGCTTGGCCTTGTGATACAAACAAGACAAAGCAGATTGCCAAGAGAATGTGGATGGAATTTCTAACATGGAGGAAATAGCATCCCAAACAGTCTTAGAGTAGGAGCATGAGAAGAACAAATGGTCTCTAGTCTCATTTTCAACCCCACACAACACACAAGTAGCATCTATATGGGGAGACCATGATTTTTGTCTTGCTCTAGTTGAAAGCCTGTCCAAAATAATAAGCCAAGACATAAAGCTATATTTTGGTGTAGAGTTTGCAAACCAAACAAGCCTGAACCAAGTCACTTTTGCTTGTTTTTCCCTCAAATGATTCCATGTGTAGCCAGTTTTGAAGGATCCTGATGGAGATGCAAGCCATATAACTAAGTCTTCTACTACCTCATTTGGATACAGATTGCCACATAATGCAATTTGAATTTGTAATAATTTTGGGGACCTAGCATGGGGCCATTTCCATAAATTAGCTTGCACCACTTGAGACAACTTAGCTTGCAATGGAATTGTTACATCCTGTACAATTTTCTAACCATAAACTTCAAGTACTGGCGTTGTTGGATGCCAAAAGTCAAAACAGAGAAAAGTATTCTCCCCATTTCCTACCATGTGCTTGATCAAATATCCAGCTGTAGGCCTCAAGCTTAAAATTTTCCTCCAAAACTAAGAGGTGTCACCTGGTACTTTTAATGACCAAAAACTTTTCCCTTTAATCAGATATGCTTGTACCCAAGCCACCCAAGTTGAACCAGCTTTAGAGAAAAGCAACCAGATGATTCTTAAAATACAAGCTTTATTCCAAGCCTGCAATGGTTTTATGCTTAGGCCGCCCTCCACTTTTGGTTTACAAACAATCTCCCAACTGACCTTTGCTCCTCTAGCATCTATAGCTCTGCCTTTCCATAAAAAAGCACTACATATAGCCTTTACTGGCTTAATAACCTTCTTGGGAAGGATAAAAATAGAGCAACAAAAATTGGTAATACCTTGAAAAATTGAAGTGATAAGTTGAAGCCTTCCTGCAAAAGATACATGTCTTGAAGTTCAAGAGTTGATTCTATTAGTAATTTTCAAGATGAGGGGCTTAAGTGCTGCATTTGTTAATTTGCTTGTTATCAAAGGCACTCCAAGGTACCTTACAGGAAGGGTTCCAAGCTTAAAACCATAAGTTGCAGCCAAATTCTTGATGATACTGTCTTGTACTCCACAATAATAAATCTCTGACTTCTGGTAATTTACTTTCAACCCTATTATTAAATAAAACTCCTTTAATCCATCTGTAAAAATCAAGAGATCATATGCAAAACATAGATGGGTGAGGCCTATTTTACTGTATTTTGGGTGAAATGGTAGTCTGCCTTCTTGAGCAACTTTATTAAGAAGCCTAGACAAGACTTCCATACAAATGACAAACAGATAAGGGGACAAGGGGTCCCCTTGCCTTACTCCTTTTTTTCTCTGGAAATAACCCTCCAAGGCTCCATTTATAGCAATAGAAAACATAGGGGAGGTAATGCAAGCTTTAATCCAATTTACAAAAACATGGGGAAAGGATAATGCTTCCAAAGTTGTAAGAATAAACTTCCAACTAACCGAGTCAAAAGCTTTCATTAAATCAATCTTGAGAGCACATCTGGGTTGCATATTAGTCTTGTGATAATCTTTAACCAGTTCTTGAGCAAGCAGAATATTTTCGACCATCAATCTCCCCTCAACAAAAGCACATTGATTATTGCTAATGAATAATGGCAAGCACTTCTTCAGTCTATTAGCAATTATCTTAGTAATGCATTTGTATAACAAATTGCAGCATGAAATGGGCCTAAATTCAACCATTTTAGAGGGGCAAGACACCTTCAGTATTAAGGAGATTATTGTAGAATTTACCTCTTTAAGGAGTTTTCCGGTGGAGAAAAACTAAATAGCTTTCGTAACAAGATCCCCTACAACAGACCAACCACTCTTGTAAAACTCAACTGTATAACCATCTGGACCAAGGCTTTTATTGTTTGGACTGCTAAAAAATATTTGCTTACACTCTTCTGCAGTGACAGGTTATATTAGGGCTTGCTGCATTATGTTAGGAAGCTGGAAGTTGAATAGTGTTTTCAACAATTCAAGCTCACCACCTAAATAAGAAGGGTCCTCAGTTCCAAGGAGCTTTTGGTAGAAGGAAACAACCTCTCTTGCAATGTCTACATGTTGAGTAAGCACCTTACCATCATCAGAATGCAGCTCCTTAATCGAGTTTTTGCATCTTCTTATTTTTAGGATTTTATGAAAATATGTTGTATTTTGGTCACCCTCTTTGAGCCAATGAACCCTTGACTTTTGCTTCAAAAATGCTTACTCAGCAAATGTTAAATCTGCCACTCTTTTTGCTTGCTCTTCTTCTACTATCACCAAGTCTTCTTGGGGATTAGACAAAAGATCAATTTGGATAGCATGCAGCTTCTCTGTTTCCTTAATAACCCTTTCATGTAAGTCACCATATGTGTTCTTATTCAACTGCTTGAGAGAAGCCTTAAGTGCTTTTAGTTTTCTGCAAAGTTGAAACATGTAGCACCTTTGAACTTCAACAGAAGACCAAATATCCTAAACAATGCCTAGAAATTGCTCATCTTTTGTCCAAAAATTGAAAATTTTGAAGGGTCTCCTTAAATGATTGCTAGGTGACTCCATAATAGTTATAGATCTTGCACAGTGATCTGAAATATCTAGAGGTAGGAATTTAGCTCTAGTATTAGAAAAAATCTCTAACCATTTATTGTTGACCATTAATCTGTTCAATTTTTTGGCAATAAGGCCCACCTCCCTCTTGTTTGTCTATGTAAATAGAGGACCAAATGCAGGAAGATCAATAAGTTCTGCATCATTCAACTTATCATTGAATAGTTCAAACTCCTTTGAGTATTGCTTTGTGGTACACCAATTAGAGCTCTCTTTAGGATTTCAGATTTCATTGAAATCACCCCCAACAAACCATGGTACTTCTAGCAAGTGTTGTTTCAAAGTAACTAAATCATCCCATAATAAACTTCTCTGATCAGGATCATTATCTACATAGAGGAAGCTAGCAAACATATAGTTTTTAGTCTTGGTGTCAAGCACATGACAGTGCATAGCTTGGTGATGGGCACTAAAAATTTGCACAGTGATATAAGGCTTCCATAATGTCCAAATTCTACCTAGAGAGGCATAGTTATAATTTCCAAACTTACACCACCCTGGAAGGATAAACTCAGCTATTGTATCAAACTTAAGCAACCGTACATGTGTTTCAATCAAACAGACAACATCAACAGCCCAATTTCTTAGAATTTTTCTAAGTTCTTTATGCTTCTGAGATTTATTGATTCCTCTAACATTCCAAGTTATGATCCTCATTTATGATGTGGAAGTAAAGGTACCTCACTGGAGGAATTTACAACTTTCTTTGTATTTCTTTGCTGAGGAAGCAAGGTCTTTGTAACATCTGCTACCACTAAAGAAGCTTGCCTTTGCTTCTTTAGGAATGTTCTAAGGGCAGGTTAAACCTCATTTATTGTAGTATTTATAATTAATTTTACACAATTTTATACAAGATTCAAATAAAGCATAATATATAAAAATATAATATAATATAATATAATATAATATCTTACCTTAAAATCTGTAAAAGTAATGAATCTTATATGAAAATTTGTGTAAAATTAATTAAAAATACCTTAATTAATGAGACTTAATATGTGTCCTTAATGCACAAGTTTTAGATAAAAAAATGAAAAATGAAAAAATGACAAACCCAAATTTGGGTTTTGTTTCATTTTTCATTTTTTTATCTAAAAGGGCACAGGTTAAACCTCATTAGTTAAGGTATGTTTAATTAATTTTACATAAATTTTCATATCAAATTCATTATTTTTTACAAATTTTAAG